TGAATACTTTTCTTGATATTCCTTACTAGTGAGATCATTACCATCCAGTACTGACTGTACTATCCACTCACCAGCTTCAATATATACTGAAATAAGGACAAATAATATTATTAATAACTTAAGAAGCTAGTAGTAATTCAGCCTCAATTGTAATAAAAGTAATTTATTTTACCTAATTCAATTATCATTGTTAGTCCATTAGTATCAGTGATAAATGTATTCACCGGCTTCTCCACTCCTCCTCCAACATCTTCCCATACAACCTCTTCACCTCCTCCAACAATTACTAGCCACACACAGTGTGGTGACATTGTGACTGCTGTGAGTGAATGATAGTATCTACCAGTAACAGATTCAGGAAGATGAATCTGTAGACAATAAGAAATATTACTGTGTGATGGATTAAAAACTATTGATTATTATTCTTTATTATATAGGTATGTGTTACTACTTATTGGTTGTATATGTGTATCATTATCATTTGAGGTATTAGTTGTATGTGTATTATTGATTATTAGTGGTGTATGTATTACATATTAATAATGAATGTATTGTGGTTTGACCTTAGACTAATTTATGCAACTGTGGTTTATGTGAGGGATGACAGCTCGGGCTTGCTCAGGCTTGCCCAGGTTGCCATCTAACTAGGAACTCTCTATGTCATGTGTTTGTCATGTGTGTGTCATATGTATAACTAGTTTAACTTGTTTGTGTCACATGATTTTGAAAATGATATAAAAGTGCCCGACCATTTTTGGTGGGTTGGTTGGTTTTATGACCTTAAAATATTCTGGTAGTTGGCGTAAGCCAGGGGGCATTGGTGGACCTCTTACATACTGATACATTATGACAAGTATAAGTACACATAAATGTATCACTAATTATAGAGTATTGTGATAAGGCTCCTCCAATTCTCAATGTTAAATTATACATAAACAACATACACGTGTACATGTACACATACCTTCTTACAACTGAACTGACCAGTAGTGATATCATCAAATAATAAACATTCAGTCACTAGTTGATTGTTATTATCCCGTCCACCAATCACAACTAGTGCAGGTGAGGTAGAGTCACTATTGATAATAGCACTAGCATGATTAAATCTCTCCTTAGTCCAGAGTCCCTCACCAGATATTGATCCTTTTTTAATACTCTCCCAATGCTAAATACATAAAACATAAACATAATACATTAAAGTATAATGTAGACAAGTGATTTAGTTTAATTTATCAGAAATACGACTCATAAGTCTGATATAATTATTTAAATAAATAACCAGTTTTCAAAACTTTGCATCATCATGATAAAATCAGCTTTATAATCTCTTGACCATCATAATAATGTTAACTTACTATCGTATTGTGTGTTACATTAAATATGTACACACTATTAGTAGCAGTATTGAGACCATCATAAGTTACTAGTCCTCCAAACATTATTCCTTTATTAAAATTTATTTTGTTGATTGTAAAGTCACTAGTTGGTGGGCAACAGTGTCCACTGACAGATGGAACAGTGAATTGTCCTAAAAATACAATAAATGTAAAAAATACAATAATATGAGATGTCATCAACCATTACATCTCAAGACATATTAACACAATTGATAACAATTGATAAAAAGAAGCCCATCATTAGATAGATTATACAGTAACTGTTCATTAGTTTGAACACGTCCATCCTTAGTCTGATCATATTGAAACTGAGGGTGCTTGACAGCTGGT